CCCCGCCCCCGCGAGCACGCGCGTCGCCACGTAAACACGCGTCGGGTGCGCCTACGCATGAAAACGACGAACGCGCTACACATGTTGGGTATCGCCGCGCACGCCGGAGTGAGAGCAATAATTCTTGGGCCAGTATTTTGGGGTATCTCTAAATTGATGACCTGTGGGGGCTTTTAAAGCGTCTTTTATTGACTTTTTGGGGTACTGCAGTTTTTCGCCGTTTCACGGTCGCACGCAATCTGTAAACTGGGCATGTTGGGTATTGTTTTACTCGTTGTAACCTCATCTTTTATATTTTATTAAAAAAATGGGTAATTTGTTGTGTTTTGGGGCATTTAATTAAATTTGTCACTAAATTTTGGGGTTTAATAAGGTGTTGCGCTAATATTGCGCAACATAAAAATTTTCAACTACCACCATTTTATTCTATAGGGTCTTGGCATTCAGAAAATATATAATGTTGGAGGGTTTTACGTCATTTTCAGGCCTAAAATGTGGAATATAACATGGGTGCAAAAAATGAAAAAAGGGCCTCAGTCATGAAGAGGTTAAACTTATTACCTGTGCCCCTACACCCTCCCTGCCTGCACCCCTGTTACACTGATCCCATGTGCACCTCCACACAGCCCTTACACTGCTCACCTCTGCACCCACCTATACCCCTCTTAGACTGCTCACCTCTGCACCCACCTAACCCCACTTAGACTGCTTACCTTGGCACCCTCTTTTACACTTCTCCTCCCCCCTGCACCCCTCTTATACTGCTCACCTCTGCACCCCTCTTACATTGCTCACCTCTGTGCCTCCCTTTGCATCCCTTTTACACTGATCACCTGTGCACCCCCCTCCCTGCCCACACCCCTGTTACACTGATACCCTGTACCGTCACTGCACCCCTCTTACATTGATAACATGTGAATCCCTAAACAGCTGTTACACTGCTCGCTGCCTCTGCACGCCTCTTACACTGCTTTCCCTTGCACCCCTCTTACAATGCTCACCTCTGCACCCCCTGCACCACTCTTACACTGCTCCCGTACTCATCATACACCGCTTACCCCACACCCCTCTTACATTGACCACCTGTACACTCCACACCCCTCTTACATTGATCACATATGCACCCCTACACCCCTCTTATATTGATCACATGTGCACCCCCACACCCCTCTTACATTGATCACATGTGCACCCTCACACCCCTCTTACATTGATTACCTGTGCACCCCTCACACCCTTCTTACATTGAACACCCCTTCTCTAAGCTGGGCATTACAGCAGGCTGTCTCATTGGCTGTATAAAGAAACTAGACTTTGAGGTGATGTTTTTATTATTGTATTTGGTGAATTTTTGTTTTATACTAATGTTGTCCTTGTTGTCATTCTAGTCTTCAGTCAGACCTGGTGTACCTGGAGAACCCAGAACTGAAGGCTTTGAAAGGAGTGAAAGTCCAGGTAACATCTCACATTCTATTCAGATGAACATTAGTAGAACGCTTTCTTCCCAGTGTCCTCTGACCTCTCCTAATTGTATATAAACCCTAATAAATATTTTTTTTATTTTCTACCTCCTGGTCTGTTACATATAATAGTGTAAGAATTTTGTTATATCTCTTCCATACGTGGAAAGAATACATGTCAGGAATTCAGAGCTGTCCTATGCACATTTCCTCCTGTATTATCTTAAGGGGTCTAATTAGCCCTCCTTGTTGTTATCTTGGACTTCAGTGGGTGTCTATATTGTTGAGAATAGGATGGGCCTGTTGTACCATAATAACCAAAAAGCCATGGTACATAGACCTGCATTATAAGTTAACTTTTGAGCTTTTGACTGAACTTGAATTCTGTTTCAGGGGGTCACCTTGCAAAAAGAACTTGTGAATGGTGAAAGAAACCTGCAACACGTGGATCAAAATGAAAACCTTAAAAAACATTCAATTACAGAAGAAAGCGACCAACCTGGTAATAGTCATGGGGAAAAGCCCGCCGTATCCCAACAAACCGACCATCCAGGTGCCAGTCGGGGAGAAAAGCCCGCCGTATCCCAAAAAGACCCTAAGTCAAGCCCGGAGGTGGGGGTGGAACATCCTGTCCCAGCTCCTCAATCTACAAATGTATCAGAAAATCATGAGGTAGAGCACAATCTCCATCTAGAACTTTCCAACTCAAATGAACCTGACGATAAACAAACACATCCAAGCCAAAATGCAGAAGGTTCTGTCCAAAAAGATGAAGGTGGTGTCCACAACTCTCTCAATGAAGAACATGAAATGCAGAATTCAGGGCAGAGCCCGGAACATCAGGATCAGAGAGGAGAACATCATGCTCATTCCGGAGATCCTCAAGAACTCAGCCTAGATGGAGATACTGTTGATAAAGTCCAAAGTATTCCAGACCAGAAGCTCCGTTCCCTTGAGAACACTTTTGAGCAGGAAAACCAAAATTTGAGAAGTCTTCCAAGTGAATTAGGAAGTGTTAGTCAGAAAACAGGTGACTTGCAACCAAGTTCTGGAAAGGAAGATTTGAACATTGATTTGTTCCCACAGGACCAGGATGGTAAGGAGTCCCTGCTGGATGAAATTACAAAACTGGTGAACTTTGGAGATCAAGGAGAAAGCAACCAACAGAACCAGGATGGTAACAAGCCACGTTTATCTACTGAACATCTCAGTCCAGAATCTCTAGAAGTGCACATCAACGAAGGACATAGCCAAAATCTAGAGGAACACAAAGTTTTGGTGTTGATTAGCCATGAACAAGGTCACACCCCAGATGAAGAGTTTGCATTGTCTTTAGAGACAGAAAGAGCACAACCTGTTCCAGGAAACACCCAAACAGAAGCTGAGGAGCCTGTGGCAGTTTGCATGGAGATTGAGCCAACAGATGTCTTAAATCAGGGCTCCATTTTGCATCGTGAGGACCAGACTCCGGATTCAGCACCCTCACCATTAGAAAACTCTCAGAGCTCAGTGCTGCCACCTAGTGACCAGGAAGTATGCACAACACTGCCATGTAAAGACCAAGTTCCCAGCCAGTCGCCGTTATCTGGAAGCCAGAATCAAGTTGACCAAGTCCAGATACCCCAAGTCTTAGGGGCAGCTGCCTCGGGACACAAGCAACGCTCTTCTAATCCTCCTCACGACCCATCAGCCTCCCACAAGCCTGAGACCAAAGAAACCAGCACCGCTCCTGAAAGCCAGCCCCTATTACAAAAGCCTCAAGAGACTGATGCCCACCAAGGAGCCAACACAGCCGAGACACGGGATAAGAGCACGCCGACGAAAAAGAAGACGTGCCAATGTTGTGTGGTCATGTGAGCTGAACGACGCAGTCTCAGAAATACCCTAAACGGAATCCATGACAATCATGAGCGACGCTCAACTCTGATATATAGCGTGTACATAGGTCAGGGAACTGTAACATACCAGAAATAGATGAATGATCACTCGTTTATAGAATTTTTAATCTAGCATTGGTCTAACTTTTTTTGTTTTGTTAAAGAAGAACTCTGGTTTAATTTTAATGCACTATATAGTTTTAAATTAGCTTTTGGGCTCATTCACACGAGCGTACACATCTGTATGGCGTGCACGCCCGTGCAGAGACCTGCTCCCTGGAGGGACAAGTGCTGCATGTAATTGGGTGCAACCGCCTGTACCGCCCTATGTGAGGACTCGTGATTACACGCCAGCCTGAACATGCATATCCGGGTGCTCACACTTGGATGTAGACAGTGTACAGGCACCAGCACAGATGTGCAAGTAGGGGTTGCCTTCTAACCGCATGCAGCAGCCACGTCTTCCCATATGGATGTACAGGTGGCTACACGCAATTACACGCAGCACCTGTCCCTCCAGGGAGCAGGTCTCTGCATGGGCACGCATGTCATACGAATGTACATGTCCATGTGAATGAGCCCTTTGTTAGTCACATGTAGTTTCCTCGCAATGGTAGAGAAGTTAAAGTGTATGTAAACCCTGACAATGATCTTCTTATCGAATTTCCTTCCTCTCGGTCTATAAAACATACCACTGAAAGCGTTTGGTTCTGTCTCTTCCATGCCTGCTGGTCCTGCCTGTAATCCACTGAGTATGAATTCTGCAGTGTTATCTCCTGCTGTCTACATTCCCTCTGTGAACTACAGAACCCCCTCCCATGTTGGGTCGATGAGGGGATGGGAAGGTGTTCCGTAGTACTAGCACACCTTCTGCCCTATGGTGTCAGCCCTGCACCTCCATACAGTACAGTGAGTGAGCGTTGTCACCCTAGGGCAGTGTGGAAGTGGCAGAGGGAAGTGTGTGACTGGCAGGATCACAAGCTGTAAATAAAAGGACAGGAAGCCTGAATGCAGCCGCCACATTGAAGGACTTTTTAAGCTGCAATTTGTTCCATTTTACGGTTTGGGGTTTAGAAACCCTTTAATGGTCAATTTAGCTACTTTCAAGCGTGCAAGAATGGTGTCTCTGCCCCCTCCTCCATGTTATCCTGGTGACTGACAGCACAGGTTATGCAGGAGCAAAGCGGGGACAACCTCTAAGAACAGCTTCTTGTTTGATTTGGACTTCGTGTGACTATACACCTTACAATCTTATTGTACAATCTCAATTCCATTTACCAAAACGATGTAATATGTGGAACATTGTAATAATCCATTAAATTTGTATCCAATTGAGCATGCCACTGGCACAACATAGTTATTGGTAAGTCTAAAGTAGACTGTACAGTCAGATTGTACAGTGCATGGTTTAAGCTGACCACCAACAATGTGATCGTACAATCTTCTTTAGATCCACCAACAACTACTGTATATTGCAAGGGGCTGTGTGAGTAGATCTAGATTGGATAAAAACGGAATGGACCATTGAGGGAGGTCCTCCCGTTACATAGTTGTTGGTAAATCTAAAGCTAACCATACTCCAATCTGATTGTGCAGCCTACTTTAGACCCATCACAAGTACCTATTGTACAATCAGATTGATTTGTATGTAGCCAGCAACAGGTCCTGTGTCAACAGACGTTTATTTGCATCAAACGGGTTTGCTTTCCCATACAAGTCTATGGGAATGCAGTACCTGCTTGAAGCAAGTCAGAAGGAGGCCAACAGCAGGTCAATTGCACCTGTCGTGTGGCCACACACACAGCCTAATTTTTCCTACCAGATTCCCAGCATTTGTGTCCGTAGATGAATCTTGTCGTTTGTCAGAAATGATATGACACCCGAGTTATATTATAACCACCTTCATACTGCGCCACTGTAAAAAAACAGAAGGACGGTGGACACAATTTTCTGGAGCGCCATTTGTGACTGAGCTGTCATTAAACACCGCAGATTACAGTCAGAGTGGCTCTGTACCTTGTGATCACTATGAACGAATCACAGTGATCACAAATGAAACACTGGCCGTGTTAACATACAGCCAGCCCTCCCCTTTGTTGCCACATTGGCTTATGATGGCATCTCAGGACAAATGGCAGCAAACTCAGGATGGGACAGGACATGAATCAGTGGCGTCACAAGGGGGGTGCGGCCCGCACTCGGGTGCCACCATTGTAGGGGGTGACACCAAAATGACTGACAGTCATTTTGGTTTCACCCCTTATGCAATGATGGGCACTCGGTCACGGACAGTGTCAGGAGAGAGCATACCTTATCCTGCCGGGTGAACGTCCCCTCCTCTCTCTGCCGGCGTCCATCACCAAGATGGCAGGTGTCAAAAAGACCACTGCGCATGCGTGATGACGTCACGGCGGGGTGTCACCCTGTCCCCACGTGACACCCAGCCTCGGGACTCCACTGCATGATTGAACATTGATTTGTTCCCACAGGACCAGGATGGTAAGGAGTCCCTGCTGGATGAAATTACAAAACTGGTGAACTTTGGAGATCAAGGAGAAAGCAACCAACAGAACCAGGATGGTAACAAGCCACGTTTATCTACTGAACATCTCAGTCCAGAATCTCTAGAAGTGCACATCAACGAAGGACATAGCCAAAATCTAGAGGAACACAAAGTTTTGGTGTTGATTAGCCATGAACAAGGTCACACCCCAGATGAAGAGTTTGCATTGTCTTTAGAGACAGAAAGAGCACAACCTGTTCCAGGAAACACCCAAACAGAAGCTGAGGAGCCTGTGGCAGTTTGCATGGAGATTGAGCCAACAGATGTCTTAAATCAGGGCTCCATTTTGCATCGTGAGGACCAGACTCCGGATTCAGCACCCTCACCATTAGAAAACTCTCAGAGCTCAGTGCTGCCACCTAGTGACCAGGAAGTATGCACAACACTGCCATGTAAAGACCAAGTTCCCAGCCAGTCGCCGTTATCTGGAAGCCAGAATCAAGTTGACCAAGTCCAGATACCCCAAGTCTTAGGGGCAGCTGCCTCGGGACACAAGCAACGCTCTTCTAATCCTCCTCACGACCCATCAGCCTCCCACAAGCCTGAGACCAAAGAAACCAGCACCGCTCCTGAAAGCCAGCCCCTATTACAAAAGCCTCAAGAGACTGATGCCCACCAAGGAGCCAACACAGCCGAGACACGGGATAAGAGCACGCCGACGAAAAAGAAGACGTGCCAATGTTGTGTGGTCATGTGAGCTGAACGACGCAGTCTCAGAAATACCCTAAACGGAATCCATGACAATCATGAGCGACGCTCAACTCTGATATATAGCGTGTACATAGGTCAGGGAACTGTAACATACCAGAAATAGATGAATGATCACTCGTTTATAGAATTTTTAATCTAGCATTGGTCTAACTTTTTTTGTTTTGTTAAAGAAGAACTCTGGTTTAATTTTAATGCACTATATAGTTTTAAATTAGCTTTTGGGCTCATTCACACGAGCGTACACATCTGTATGGCGTGCACGCCCGTGCAGAGACCTGCTCCCTGGAGGGACAAGTGCTGCATGTAATTGGGTGCAACCGCCTGTACCGCCCTATGTGAGGACTCGTGATTACACGCCAGCCTGAACATGCATATCCGGGTGCTCACACTTGGATGTAGACAGTGTACAGGCACCAGCACAGATGTGCAAGTAGGGGTTGCCTTCTAACCGCATGCAGCAGCCACGTCTTCCCATATGGATGTACAGGTGGCTACACGCAATTACACGCAGCACCTGTCCCTCCAGGGAGCAGGTCTCTGCATGGGCACGCATGTCATACGAATGTACATGTCCATGTGAATGAGCCCTTTGTTAGTCACATGTAGTTTCCTCGCAATGGTAGAGAAGTTAAAGTGTATGTAAACCCTGACAATGATCTTCTTATCGAATTTCCTTCCTCTCGGTCTATAAAACATACCACTGAAAGCGTTTGGTTCTGTCTCTTCCATGCCTGCTGGTCCTGCCTGTAATCCACTGAGTATGAATTCTGCAGTGTTATCTCCTGCTGTCTACATTCCCTCTGTGAACTACAGAACCCCCTCCCATGTTGGGTCGATGAGGGGATGGGAAGGTGTTCCGTAGTACTAGCACACCTTCTGCCCTATGGTGTCAGCCCTGCACCTCCATACAGTACAGTGAGTGAGCGTTGTCACCCTAGGGCAGTGTGGAAGTGGCAGAGGGAAGTGTGTGACTGGCAGGATCACAAGCTGTAAATAAAAGGACAGGAAGCCTGAATGCAGCCGCCACATTGAAGGACTTTTTAAGCTGCAATTTGTTCCATTTTACGGTTTGGGGTTTAGAAACCCTTTAATGGTCAATTTAGCTACTTTCAAGCGTGCAAGAATGGTGTCTCTGCCCCCTCCTCCATGTTATCCTGGTGACTGACAGCACAGGTTATGCAGGAGCAAAGCGGGGACAACCTCTAAGAACAGCTTCTTGTTTGATTTGGACTTCGTGTGACTATACACCTTACAATCTTATTGTACAATCTCAATTCCATTTACCAAAACGATGTAATATGTGGAACATTGTAATAATCCATTAAATTTGTATCCAATTGAGCATGCCACTGGCACAACATAGTTATTGGTAAGTCTAAAGTAGACTGTACAGTCAGATTGTACAGTGCATGGTTTAAGCTGACCACCAACAATGTGATCGTACAATCTTCTTTAGATCCACCAACAACTACTGTATATTGCAAGGGGCTGTGTGAGTAGATCTAGATTGGATAAAAACGGAATGGACCATTGAGGGAGGTCCTCCCGTTACATAGTTGTTGGTAAATCTAAAGCTAACCATACTCCAATCTGATTGTGCAGCCTACTTTAGACCCATCACAAGTACCTATTGTACAATCAGATTGATTTGTATGTAGCCAGCAACAGGTCCTGTGTCAACAGACGTTTATTTGCATCAAACGGGTTTGCTTTCCCATACAAGTCTATGGGAATGCAGTACCTGCTTGAAGCAAGTCAGAAGGAGGCCAACAGCAGGTCAATTGCACCTGTCGTGTGGCCACACACACAGCCTAATTTTTCCTACCAGATTCCCAGCATTTGTGTCCGTAGATGAATCTTGTCGTTTGTCAGAAATGATATGACACCCGAGTTATATTATAACCACCTTCATACTGCGCCACTGTAAAAAAACAGAAGGACGGTGGACACAATTTTCTGGAGCGCCATTTGTGACTGAGCTGTCATTAAACACCGCAGATTACAGTCAGAGTGGCTCTGTACCTTGTGATCACTATGAACGAATCACAGTGATCACAAATGAAACACTGGCCGTGTTAACATACAGCCAGCCCTCCCCTTTGTTGCCACATTGGCTTATGATGGCATCTCAGGACAAATGGCAGCAAACTCAGGATGGGACAGGACATGAATCAGTGGCGTCACAAGGGGGGTGCGGCCCGCACTCGGGTGCCACCATTGTAGGGGGTGACACCAAAATGACTGACAGTCATTTTGGTTTCACCCCTTATGCAATGATGGGCACTCGGTCACGGACAGTGTCAGGAGAGAGCATACCTTATCCTGCCGGGTGAACGTCCCCTCCTCTCTCTGCCGGCGTCCATCACCAAGATGGCAGGTGTCAAAAAGACCACTGCGCATGCGTGATGACGTCACGGCGGGGTGTCACCCTGTCACCATGTGACACCCAGCCTCGGGACTCCACTGCATGAATCACCCCATCTTCACTGACAGCTCCTCTGATAGCACTCTGCATTTTACAGGAGGGAACCGCTCATCATCCCCTTATCATCCAGCCCCCAGAGCTCCTCCAATCCGACCCCATGATTAAATACTGGCTCTCTGCCCATCCTGTGCCCATAATAAGGGGTTCCCATCATCCCTGTGCTAAGTTCTTGGGCCTGTACACCCGCTGTGTCCATTATGAGGGACTCCCACCATCCCTGTGCTAAGTTCTTGGGCCTGTACAACCACTGTGTCCATTATGATGGGCTCCCACCATGCTGGATTTTGTATCATTTTATATGGGGAACAGGAGCTGGAACATACAAAGGTAACCAGGAACACCCAAAACTCTCAGGAATGATGGACAAGGGCATCTCATTTTTGGATTATGCAAGACCCAACTTTAGAGTCTCTGATGGATCACATGTGCCGCATGGTGACACCAGAAGATGTCACATCTATGTCTCTGGTTTTTTTTCCAGGGTCACCAGGTGGAGGGATCAGTATTTTTAATTCGTAATTTTATATTATGCAGGGAATCTAATATAAGGAAATAGAACATACATAGGTGGACAGGAATACCCGGAAACCCTCTAGTGGACAGGAACAGAGTCAGGAATAATGGGCGGGGGGGATCTGACTGTGGGAGTATACGAGACACATAAGAAGAGGCCGACTTAGCCAACCGGACTTCACCTATAACTTAAATATTACTTCTCATTGGCCCGTGAGTCTCTGATGGATCACATGTTTTTTCCAATGTCAACCGGTGAAGGGATCAGTGTTTTTCACTCGCCATTTTATATTATAATGGGAATGCAACAGAAGGAGCTGCCATACAGGAGGTTGAACAGGAACAAAGTTGGGGAGATCTCATTGTTGGAGTATACCAGGAACAACCTCAGAGTCTCTGATGAATCAAATGTGCTGCGCGGTGACATCAGACGTGTCACATCCATCTCCATGCTTTTTTAGAGTCACCTGGTGGAGGGATCATTATTTTTCCTCAATTTTTTATATTAAACAGGGAATATATTGTAACAGAAGGAGCTGGAACATACAAAAGTGGACAGGAACACCCAAAACACCCAGGTGCACGTAGTCAGAGTTGGGGAGATCTCATTGTTGGAGTATACAAGGTACAGCCCCAGAGTATCTGATGGATTAAGTGTGTTGCATGGTGACACCAAAAGCACCCGATCCATCTCCATGTTTTTTCCAGTATCACCTGGTGGAGGGATCAGTATTTTCTTCTCGTCATATTTTATTATCTTGGGAATATTACAGAAGGAACTGGAACACAGGAAGATGGGCAGGGACACCCAAAATGTGTAGGTGCACTGGGAATGTAACAGAAGGAGCTGGAACAAAGGTGCACAGGATGCAAAGGTGGACAGGAAAACCCAAAACTCTGGACAGGATCAGAGTTGGCAACATCTCATTGTTGGAGTATACAAGGAACAACCTCAGAGTCTCTGATGGATCAAATGTGCTGCGTGGTGACACCAGACGTGTCACATCCATCTCCATGTTTCTTTCAGAGTCACCTGGTGGAGGGATCAGTATTTTGTACTCCTCATTTTATATTATCCGGAGAAGATAACAGAAGGAGCTAGAACAGTGGACAATAACAACCAAAACACCCAGGTGGACAGGATCAGGGTTGGGAATTATGGCCAGGAGATCTCATTGTTGGAGTAAGATACATAAGAAGAGGCTGACTTAGCCACCCAGACCTCTCCTATAACTAAAATATAATTTCTCAACTGGACTAAAAGAAAAAAAGTAGATATTATATATATATATATATACTTCTTGTTTTGATGTTATAATTGTACTTCTTGATGTTGGGTGAAGCCGTCTTTGGAGACATCCCATGTCTGGGTATTTCTTAGCGGAGGATCCTTCCTTATACAGAAGAACAGACTACAAAATATCTGAGTGGTAAGTTATCTGAGACACCTGAAGATATGAAAGAAACAGTTTATTTTCAACAATACAAATGAAGCGCACCTTAGATAAAACACACGCTGAGAAACACAAAGCTACGCCCTCCAGGAGTGAAAGGACATTCTTGTCTATGCAGTAAAGCAAATAGCAATGTGTATTTAGGCCGATCAGAGTCATCAGATTTAAGGATTCTGTTAAAAAAAAATGCAGAATTGGAAATTATTTTTAAAAATTTTGGGGAGGGGGGAATCCATTGCATTCCCAAAATTGCAGGAACACCCAAAATTTGCAGTTGGATGGGAGCAGAGCTGGGGAGATCTCATTGTTGGAGTACACAGGGAACAGCCTCAGAGTCTCTGATGGATCGCATGTACTGCATGGTGACACCAGAAGTATCACATCCATCTCCATCTCTTATGTTGTAAGGGATAAGACTGGGTGCACTCATCATGGCCCTGTGATGCGGAGGGCCCTCTCACGCTATCAATCCAATAATGCTCCGTGGCTCAGGGCATCATGGATGGGATGTGTCTTAAGGTAGCGCCAATAGGGT